GTTAAATTTGGTGTCCCTCTTCCCCGCCCATTCAAAATATGTTGAAATCCTAATCCCCAGAAACTCAGAATACAATCTTATTTGGAAAATCATTGTATATATAATTTAAATGATATTACACGGGATTAGGATAGGACCCTAATCCAGCACAGCAGTTATAAGATACAGATGCAGGAAGAATGCCATGTGAAATAAAGTAGAAATTGGATTAATGCATCACTATATCAGGAAATACCATGGACTATTCACTATCACCAGAAGCTAGGAGCCAAGGAACAGATTCTCAGTGCCTCTTAAGGAACCGACTCCTGACAACTTGATTTCACATATCTAGCATCCAGAACTGTGAGAGGATAAGTTTCTGTTGCTTTAAGCAAACAGTTTGTGGTTCTTGGCAGCTCCAGGAAACTAATACAATWTAAAGACAGAGAATGGCAGAATGAATTTTAAAACATAACCCATTATACACTCTCTTCAAGAAACACATTTTAGATTCAAAAACATAAATAAGTTGGAAGTAAAAAGATGGTAAAAGATATTCCATGTAAACAGAAAGCTGAAGTCACTCTATTAATATTAGATAAAATAAACTTTTAGACAAAAAGTATTATATGAGACAACGGACACTACAATATCAAAGGGCCAACCCATCAAGAAGTCATAAGAATTTTAAACACACACACCACACACATTTTACAACAGAGCATCAAATTATATGAAGGGAAACTGGAATTGAAGGGAAAAATATTTTAACAATAATAGATGGAGAACTCAATACCTCACATTGAATAACAGTAACCAGAAAGAACATCAACAAGGAAACAGAATATTCAAGTAACATTATCAACCAACTAGATCTTAACAGACACGTATAGAATACTCCATCCAACAACAGCAAATTACATTCTCCAGTGCATAAAAAACATTCTTCAGAATAGGTCTTAGGTTAGGTCATACATTTAAAAAAATGAAAACTGTACAAAGGATGTTCTCCAAGTATGATACAATGAAATTAGAAATCAACAGTAGACAAAACCTTAGAAAATTCACAGATATATAGCAATTAAACAATACACTCTTAGAATAGTCAGTGTGTCAAGAAGTCACAAAGGAAATCAGAAAATACTTTGAGACAAATATATATAGAAACACAATATACTCAAATCTATGGGATTTGGTGAAATCAGTGGTTAGAGGAAAATTGAGTTATAATGCTTATGTTAAAAAAGAAGAAAGAATGATGGGATGTGGTGGTATATACCTGTTCATTGACTCAGCAGGCTGAGGCAAGAGGATTGAAAGTTTAAAGCCATCCTCAGCACCCCCTGAGTACAATCCCTAGTACCCTTCCTCATCTAAGAAAGAGAAGATTGCAAAACTACTACCTAAACATCTTAAAGATCTAGAAAAATGAGCAAACTAAACTCAAAGCAAGCAGAAGGAAGAAAATAATGGAGAGGGCTGGGGATGTGGCTCAAGCGGTAGCGCGCTTGCCTGGCATGCGTGCAGCCCAGGTTGGATCCTCAGCACCACATACAAACAAAGATGTTGTGTCCGCCAAGAACTAAAAAATAAATATTAAAATTCTCTCTCTCTCTCTCTYCCTCTCTCTTAAAAAAAAAGAAAATAATGGAGAGTACATATAAACAAAATAGAGAACCACAAAACCACAGTTGATTCTTTGAAAAAACCAGCAAAATTGATAAATATTTAGGTAGACGACATATTCTCTCTTCAACTTGAACTAATCTTTCAGCCATTACCAGTACTCTCCTGAAACTGTACTTGTCCAATCCAAGGGCCACTGCTAATCTCAACTTCCTTGAATTCTTACCAGTGCTTGATGTAAGTTCTCCCTCCTGTTTTGACTTGTGCCATTCTCCTGGTTTTCATTCCTCCATACCAATCCTTTTCCTTTGCTGTCCTCCTTCCTTGCTCAAACTCTCATGTTGGAACTTAAAAGCTCAGTTTAGGATCCCAAGGCTTTTCATAGCATTTCTTTGCCAATAAACTCTTGAATTAGATCTCCATCCAATCCAGGGCCCTGAACTCTAGACTTACATCCAATTGTTGTTTGGTTATTTATTTATTTATTTATTTATAATCAATATCAGCATTGGCTTTTCACATTGTGTCAGTGACACTGCTGGTTTTGAGTGGTGCCATCTATCCAAGCTAAAAACCTAGGACCTATCTTTTCAAATTCAATTAATCAAGAACTGCAGTCCTTGACATTTCTGAAACATATTCTGAAAGTGCCCACTTCTGTTTTCACCATTATCACCCTAAGGCAAGTTGCCACCCTCCTTTATCTTTACTGCTGTAAAAGCTTCCTATCTTAGATCCAGCAACTGGCTCKGTCAATTGTCATTGCACCTGCTAGTTGGAGGAATTGGAAAATTAAAAACATTTCCCAGATACTGTTACACATTGAGTCCTGGGCTGAAGTTAGATACTGTCATTGAAACGCAACATAAACACAAAGATTATAAAGAGAAGCAAGACAGCGGCAACTGGCATGCAAGGTTGCAGAGTTGTGAGTTTGGAGGCCCAGCATTCCGATGTGTGGCCACCTTTGTGACTGTGAGCAGCAGTGGCAATGTCCTTGATTCCACAGTCCATTGGTAGTTCTCCTAACTATTCCCCCTCCTATTTTCTAAAAATCTTACCCCTTGTTTACTCAACTCTGGCATACTTAAGTGGTCTTCCTGTTGGCTTTTAAGAATAAATGACCTTGCTTATCTGTGATCCATTCTCCACCTCATAAAGAATTACTTAAAAATGTAAATCGATCCTATAATCCCCTGCTCAAATCCTGTGGTGACTTCCCACCACACTTAGAATACAATGCTGAATTAGGAAAATGGGGGCTGGATATCCCAAGAATCAGAGGTTATATAAAAAATACTACAAATAGACAACAGAAATAAATATCTACCAAATGCTATCTTAAATTTTGGTCCAAACTGAACATTTGGAAATAGATTTATTGTAAGTATTTAGAGCTTTTTCTTAAGTCTGAACTAAATTGTTTTTAAAGTCCTTTTTCTTTGTAAAGCATTGTAAATGCTAATAATCCTGTTAATTATTTTTCTTTTTAACTGCATGTTACATTGAAATAAAAACAAAGTAAAATGAAAACAACAACAACAACAACAACAACAAAAAACACAATTCAAACACTTTACTGGGGTACCAGCCCTAATCATCTGGTTTTTGTGTACTTTTTGACAGCATCCAGGCATTGGCTTCCCAATTCCTGGAATAGGCCAAGTTTTGCCTCAGATCTTTGCTGTACTATGTTCCATCTGCATGAAATGATTTCTCCTAGCTTCTTCGATATCTAGTCTTTCACATTCAGATGAAAGGTCATGTTTCGCATTCCCTGGTAAAAAGTATAGCACTTGCTTGCATCTAGTTTTTTTTGTTGTCATTATTGACTACAGTCCCTCTCCTCTAAGAATATATGTACTACGGCAGTGGGGAATATGACCCTTCACAGTAGATTTGGGGTTAATTTGTAAGGAGAGTGAATTTTACTTCTATTAGAGTTATTCCAAGTATATTAGCAAAATCTGCAAAGTATTCCCAAATCTTAGGTTGAGAATAATATCATTTTGCCTTCAAGGCATGGGTGGTAGGATAGCAAATTGTTTTGGCACATTCTATATTCAACTTTTATACTCTGATAGGAATGAAAAAAAATCTGAAAACAAGCCTTTTTTAAAACACTACTGCTGGAAAAACTATTTACCCCAAATCACTGTTTTTAAAAATGCACTTTAGGGGATAAGGAGAGGAAGAATATTAGTGGGTGGATTTCATTTGAGAACATTGCCATTTTTTTCCACAACTAGTCTGACTCTTGCAATATCATGCTGTTGGCTTTTAAGAATAAATGACTTAGGACTGGGGTTGTGGCTCAGTGGTAGAGCATGTGTGAGGCACCACATAAAAAAAAATAAACAAAATAAAATTGTGTCCATCAATCATCAAATAAATGAACCATACTCATTCCCTGCCTCCTAATGCTCCATCTGCTGGCCTAGTTTTCTGGAGAAACAGCACCATCTGCTGGGAAAAGTGTRTCATGAATCTGTCTCAGGAATAGAGATCAATCTCTGCTTATGCAATTCCCTACTTGGGTTATAATCAGCAACTAAGATAAGACTTCCAGAAGGCCAAATAGGAAAACTTTGTACACCAGAAGTGCTGATATAATTAGAGAATACTCAATGTCACAGTGAATCCCATAAATTTGTACAATTAATATGCATTAATAATTATTAAAAGAAAAGATTAGAGAATCCTCTTTGTCTGAGGTTTCTCTTCCTAAAATACCAACTAACAAAATCTACTAGAAGGTTCGGATTAAGACCCAGGAATAGAAAGTGCCATGACTTTCAAAATTCTTTATCTCCTATATTCTCTGCAAATGAAGATGCTGAGAAAATTAAATGCCTTTGTTCTCATTTTTTGGAATCTCCGGAATTTTTTCCTTCCTTTCATAAGAAAGGAATTTTATATGAATTTTCCTCCTAGTTCATTACCCACTTTTGTAGTTATCTTTCATTCTTCTTAACCAATTTACTGATTCCTCAAGTTCTTACAAACATCCATCTCCAACATACTTAACTGTCCCTAAGKTTCCTTAGGACCTAAGAAATATTCAACTCACCTTTATTCTCCCTCCTTTCACATCCCACTTTGACAAACTGAATCTGATATTCCATCTTTCTTCTAATTCCTGAATCTATTTCTTTTCTGTCCTTACTACKCAGTGTGAATTATAGTTTTTCAGGAAGTTTCTTCATCACAGACAGTAAATGCCTCTCTACCCCAATTCTTTGCTGGCTAGATACTGAGCACCTTAAATTCCTAATTTAGATTCTGGTGCATAATTTTCTCATTTCTTCCTTACTTTTTTGGGGGGAGGGGTAGGGTACTAGGGATTTAACCCAGAGGCATTTACCACTGAGCTACATCTCCAACCCTTTTTATTCAAGATAGGTTCTAAGTTGCTTAAGGCCTTGCTAAACTGCCAAGGCCTGCCTTGAACTTACAAATCTTTGGCCTAAGATAAAGGCAAACCTCATCAGCCAACCACAGCTAGCTGACCCTTCTAAGGGAAAGGAGGGACAATCCCAGGCAGTTCCTGTAATAGTACCTTTGTTGCAGGAATTTCTTTTTTTTTCTCCCCCTTTTCCTACCCAGCACCCATTCCCCTTCCACTTTGGGCCCCCACTGGCTGCTTTTTACCACCACTGGGTGAAAAAGATAAAATAAATTCTTGGATTCTATGGGTCCTAAACTCTCTAGACCTCACCCTTTGTTTTTCTTCTTGTTCATGAGCTCCTTTGAGCCATTTTGGGACTTTGGAACCACTATGGGCTTCTAACACTTTGAAAGAGAAGTTTGCATTGTGCCTTCTTTATGATTACTAAGGGATACCCTGTTCTGACATCTATCCATGAACTTGTCCTGAAAATATATAAAATTCATCCTTTTATTATCATTCTTGATTTTGCCATCATTTATAAATTACTCCCTGTGGGAGGCCATTATTTCATGTGACCAGCGTTTTCTTCTCCTAATAGGTTGAAGCACTGTCACTTCCGTGATCTGGCAACTTTGAAGTAGCTGAAGGGGTAGCCCCGATCTGGATCCTGAGAGTAGTAAAAATGCAGTCAAATGTGTCTTCATGTGTAGGTGTGCCTTCCTGCAGCCCCATGAGTTGAGCTTCGCTCACCTGTTCCTTTGAGATATTGCCCTTTTTCCCTGTTTGGAATTGAATGTTCCATGGAAACGCACTTTGTGTGTCCCCTTCTCTTACTCTGCCCTTGGATGTGGCCTTCCTAGATATCAACCAACAGACATCATGAAGCTAGACTCAGCCCCTTGAAACCCTGACTCCTTGCTTCATTTGAATGGCTTCTCCTCAATAAAAGGGGTCAGCTTGCATGCATGCTCTTTTTCTGCAAACCCTTAAGGTCAGAGGAGGTGACACAGGAACCCCAAAGAAAAAGGTATTTCTGTCTCTTGTGTGGTTATTTCGCGCAGCCCAGTTCCCCTGGAATGACTCTGAGTGTTTTAGTCTCGAGGAACGCGACAACTCCCATTTTAAAATTATTTATATTTCTATTTTTCTACTACATTTTGTCGTCTTCAGATTCTTTAAATTAGCTACTAGAAGATCAAAATTATCAACGTAAAATCATTTGTATCCCCTGTCCTCTCATATTTGCAAGAGTACTTCCTTCTCTTTATTTGAAGCATCCTAAAATTATTTCTCCAGAATTCATTAGGAAAAATACTTGCCTCCTTCAAGCATTATCTGATATACTTCAAACATAAGACTCTCATAAATATAAGAAACTCCACTAATATACTGAATGCTTTTAGAACCCAGATGAAATAGTAACCTCATATATATATATATATATATATATATATAATTCAAATGCTGGCTAATGATTTTTTTCCACTGGCACTTCATTAAAACATGCTTCATACACATTAAGACAAAACTAAAATAAAATTCTTATTTAAAAAATTTTTCTTCAATCTGAGTTTTGTTTTGATTATGATAATATGTGGTATAGTTCAGGGACCTCTATAAAACTGAAAGAAGAGAATGCTTTTATTAATCACAACATAAAACTGACATGGAATCCTACTAGAATTGAACCAGGATAAATAATGCTGTTATAAAATTTACATTTCTCACATTCAAGGGGAAACTATTACATATTAGGGCTCTTCTGGGTGTTATGAACTAATTTCAGCAAAAACTTTATTTTAAAAAATAGTAAGTAGCAATTAACATATATTTTTAAACTGTGTGAAGATAAAGTTAGAAAGGCAACTGGTAAAACCAGCAGAATTAGAATCATTTTGTTGGACATAAAGAACCACAGTTCCTTTTTAGCTGTTATATCTGCATGTTTTTCATTGATAAGGTGAGTGCTGGCTATGGGTGCCACATGATTAGTAATTTTCTTCTTCAGTAACAAATACTTGACTGATCTAGACTCAGGTAAATTTTCTTTCCTTATTTTGCTCTTTTGGAGCAGAAACAAATTTATCTTTTGTACCAAGGGAGGCAAATATGAAATACAGCTATTGTAACTCTTCTAACTCGCCATTAAACAAGGGAAATGAATTGTTAAGAATGTCTCTGAAGTATTTCTAGTATTTAAAATAGGCCTCTGAATAATTTTCAAAACTAAGTTCTCATTTTGGTATAGGATTTGATAATCATAACACATTTGATCTGTATTCTTCTATCAACTACAATTTGCCCTCAATGTGGGTTACTGTTAGGGTCTCAAACTATGTCTACATATAGAGCATCTTTAAATAAGTTTCTTCACTGAACTTAAGACTTTTTTCCCCTCACTTATGTGCCCATGAAAATTAATGAGCATACACATACATATACTTGCATACATATGTACGTATAGAAGTAAGTTACTTTGCCATTAGAATAAAACTAGACACTAGGGGGACAACTCTGAGGAACAGTTTGGTCTTCTATGGAAGTTTCCTCTATGCTGAGGAAGGCAGGTATAGTTCGCTGAAGGATGTGATGAGGCTGTAGGAAGTTTTCTCATCATCTGTCAATCCTGCATTGCCAGGTCTCACCACCACAGCTACATGCACACCTGCTTCCTCAGCAGCACTGGCCTCTGTGAAAATCAAAGTATGTGTCAGAAATATCATACTATAACATCCACAATTTGCATCAAAGTCATCAGGGGGATGTAAGAACAGAAGAACATTTGGCCTTGATTTTTGTTGAAGCTAGAAGATGGGCACACTGGGGCTGACTATGTTATGTATTTTAATTGGAGAGGGGGATCTAACTGGACTTGATAGAATAGAATGGTAGTGTATCCTACATTTCTGAGCTTTATTAAGTTTGCTACTTATGAATGCAGGTCAGAGCCATGTTCCATCCCATAACCTTCCTCCATTCCTTCCTGCAACTGAGCTATTTCCCAAAAGGCAGATAATTGGCAGTATCTATCAATTAAATAGATACGGTACAAAAGGAATCCTATAATCTAATCAGGTTGAAGTGCCTGCCCTCACCTCCAAGCCCCAACATGTCATGCTCCCTGACTAAACTGCTTATATTTTTGGCCTAGTAAATTTATGCTCATTAAAATGCAGCTCAAAACATTCTGACTTTCAGAACATTCCATATACTCCCTTAACACTCTGTGTTTACCTCTATCACAATATAAATTTATAACTACTTGTTATTCTGCTCTTCATTGGCCTATGAACATCTTAAGATACATGGATGTGTGTGTGTGTGTGAGAGAGAGAGAGAGAGAGAGAAAGAGTTTGCGTGTGTGTGTGTGTTGGGGGGGCAGTGGCAGCAGAGGGATACAGTAAAAATAGGACTAGTCAAATTGAACTAGGTATTGTAGGAGATATCCCTAAAACATCTGGGTTACATTACTTTCTCTATTTTACTTCTATTTGAAAAATAACCACTAATACATCCCATGAATTTATCATGTACCATGTGCTAGGTACTATTTTAGGATCAGAAATATGTGAATAAAATAAAGCTCCTACTTTCTTGGAGCTCCCCTTCTCATCGAAATCTTCATAGCAACCCCAAGATAGTATCATTACCTCCATCCTAAAGATATGAAACTGAGAGTTAACAGGTGGTATAGGGCTAAAATTTGAAATTGTAATCTGATTCCATCATCCGTACTCTAGAACTACAGCTGGCAATTGATAGGCTGTCACCTGCTTTTGTAAATAAAATTGTACTGGAACATAGTCACACCCATTTATCTGTGTATCATCTGATTAATTTTGCATTATAAGGAGAGAGCTGAAAATAGCTGTGACATAGATTGTTGTTGGAGTGGCGAATGAATGATAGGTTTCTTTGAAAGGCAGAGGAGATGATGCCCTTTGGAGAACTCTTGGTAGAAAGGTGCTGATCGAGATTGCTTAGCTGATGGTAATGCCCTTTTCAAAAGGGATTCTGTGCAGCTCAYAGAATTTATTGGTAATGGCCTTGAGTTTAAATGCCTGGAGGTAGAGAATTGTGAGCGCAAGCTGACAACCTTTAATGAGCTGTTTTACCCATAACTTAGTTTTGTTTATCTTGAAAAAGTTTTCTCACAGTAAATCCTTTTGATGTTTAAACCTATATAATAAACATGGGGAGCTGCTCCTGGCCAGTCTTCTYCCATTAGGATTACTGCTTTCTCTACATTTGTGTCTGTTTATCTTTTTTCCAATCCCCTCATCAGCCTGGATTTGGGGAAACTGAATAAATGTCACGTGGGCTGCGACAGATTGTAAAGACTGAAGTATTTACTATCTGCACTTTTTAGGGAAAAAAAAACTGGCAGAGACAGGARGAATTCTAGGCAAAAATAAAACACACACATATATCTGGGAGAATGGAGGAAGTCAGAGTCGCAAACAGGACAAGGTCTGTGGTAAGAGAGATGTGGCTTCTTAGGACAGTCAAGTTAACAGGTAAAAAAAAAATCTGGAAAAGTCTATGCAATTTAAATTTGGCACAACAGGAAGCTTTGGCAGTTTTGCAACTTTTGGAAAAGAGTAGCAGATTGTTAATGGACTAATTAAAGGACAGCAGTGTTGAGAGATAAGCTGTTCCTGAAAGAGGAAAGCCATTTCTTAACCCTGTCCACTTGTGCAAGTCTACTTTCTGCTCTTGTTATGAAAGGGCCTGTCACCTTCCTAGGGACCCTGAGCAAACCAAGTGCTAAAGACTCTCTTCTTCATGTAAGAATGCTATCATTAAGCAAACCGCAGATGCCACTTGTGTCAGCAGAAAAAGCAGCTGCCTTATACTTGCCCCTACCTCCCAGACTGATGAGTGCAGGGTTTACCACGTCCAGCAGACCATGACTGGAGATATATATATAACCTTACAGTCATCAGAACAACTGCTTATCAGTCACCATGTTTTCAAATTCATCAGTGTTAAGCTTGATAAAGCCCCACTTCTTTGAGATGCAGATCCTCTGGTGGCTAGGGAACTGAAAATTGAAATTAGCCCTACATAGGGCCTCAATCACAACATTTTCCTTGTTCTGTGGCTTTGTGTGGATAGACATGATGACTTGGCCAACATGAACACTTGCCACTGTGTCTTGAGGTTTCCCAAAGATACCCCACAGACCTTTCTGGAGCCTAGATTGGAGATATGAACTTCCACTGAAAAGCACCATTTCCAAGGTCCCTTAGGGAAACCCATTTAAGCAACAGGCTGCATATACTATGGAGGAGGTTGCTGTTTGTAGCCATCACACTCTGGGCTGCCATGAATAAAGGAACACAGTTTAATTGGCTGCAGACATGAGTTCCTTAAACAAAGCTTTCATCTCGACTGGCATCCAGGATTTTGACTAAGTTGGGACATTATAGTCCATCTGGGAATTGACACTAGCTAGTGGCTGTTTCATATTCAGGCTTCATAAACTAGATCACAGAGGGCAAGTTTTGTTCTTAAGCATCYACTGGCTCTATTGGTATAATATTGAGACACTTAAGCAATACTTGTTGACTTAAAACTCTTGGATCGCTTTTCTTTTCTCCAATGAGAAGAGGTCTTTAAATTCTTTTTTTCATACTTAGGTACCATCTGGGATATCAACTTGGTTTTCTGTTCTACCTTGGCAGTGGAAGCCTGAGCATGTGGTACCAAAACACAGGACCAGAAGTGACAGAAAAGAGAAAGGCAGGCAGCCATCTACCTGGCCTCATCCCAGCTACAGATAATCCAAATTCTTACCCTGCCTAATGGGGTGTGCGGCTGGCAGAAGATGAGGGACAGAAATAAAACCTTCTTTTAAAGGACTAAGAGAAAGGTATTTCATTTTGAGGCCCATTTGGGGATTACTTCTATTCTTTAAAGTGAAGATAATTTATGGAACTGCAATCCAAAGGAAATGCTTAAGTGAAAAGAGAAAAGACCTAAAATTATAGATGTACAACTACCAAAAAAAAAAAAAAAAGTGGTTAAGGAAAAGAATATAAAGAAACTATAGTATTATCAATATAACCAAAAAACTGGATAGAGAAAAGGCATGGGGATAAAAAGTGGAATCATATATTTCATCAACAAGTGGTTCACTGGGTAGAGAGATGGTACAAAGCAGACATTCATTCTAAGCTTGCAGAAATCTATCATCTAAAGTGCTAAAGAGCTGGGCACAGTGGCACACATCTGTAATCCCAGCAATTTGGGAGTCCAAGGCAGGAACAACGATATTAAGAATTACTGTTTTTGGAAAAAGGCAGTGTAACTTCTGATCACATCAAATGATCTACGCTGGTTARGATTAAAAAAAAAAAAAAAGGATCAGTTTAGCAAATTAGCACCTGCTTATATACTTACAACTCTCACCTATTACATCAGACCAAAAGATTAAGTGTTAGCAGAAGACAAAGAATATAGATCATATACATTATCTGCAAGAACCTTTGCTAGCAACCTGGATGTTCCTTTGGGCCCCCTCTATGAAAGTCCAGACCAGTAGAAGTAACTTAGTTGTGTGACAACAAACAGGAAGGTCTAAGGTCTAGAGAGAGTAATCTTATATACAGGCCACTGAATCTCCCTCCAAGGGGCCCAGGAGTCATGTAGAGACACCTAGACAAGAGAACAACCTCCTCCTCCCYCTAACATCCTTCTCTAGACTAATGCCACAGATCCAGTTTGTTAGAACTGCACAAAGTGCTCTTTTGGGGGTGTGATCTCAGTCCCAGAGAAATTTATAATTTAAAGTAGAATAGAAAAACTCAAATATGTAGGACTGCCCTCAAATGCAAATAAATTATAAACAGCAAAAGTAAGCCCACAAGGAGATGCATGAACTCTAAGAATGACTACACAATCAAAAGCTGGAACCAGCCAGGCCTGGTGGTTCAGGCTTGAAATTCCAGTTACTCAGGAGGCTGAGGCAGGAAGATCCTAAGTTCAAGCCAACTTCAGAAACTTAGCAAGACCCTGTCCCCAGCCCTCAAAAATAAATAAATAAAAGTAGCCACATGGGAATGCCTTTTTAGCAAGGGGTTGCAAATAAGAATCAGATATTACATTCTCCAAGCACTCTTCACCTACCTCTTCACTTATGTTTGTTATAATTCTCTAGATCACATTCTTACACAGATGCTAAAACCTGAGTTTCCAATTTGATCCAAACTATTATTAAAATAATTTATACTAACAACAAAGGACAGTACATGCTGTTTTGCACATTAAATCCTTAAAGTAATAATGTATAATGCTAATGTACTGTATATAATACGAAGGGCAATGCTAAGTTTAAAAAAAGAGTCTTTAAAAGGTAAATCACTACAATGAAGCCCAAGATTTACCCGATAGGTGTCTCGAGAAAAGAGACCAATTGAAGGAAGGCAGAGATGAAGCTCCTACTCATCATGGGACAGCTCACTGATCAAAATGACAGGTAAAACTGCTTCAACTATTTATAGTTCTCTCTCTTATACCCCCCTTCCACAAGTGTACAACTGATCTCACTGCTATTAAATGCATCTGGTACAGGTTCACTGTGACTCTTTTGTCCTTAACTAACCATCACCTACGGTCTGATCTGCATGATCATCCCAATAACATTAAGTCTCCCTCTGCTATACTCCCACGTCATTGGTGTATATGTGTACATATAGAGTGATGTATAGGGTACCATGATGGAGAAAAATGAAGAGAATAAAGTTTTTTTTAGTGTTATTCCCATTCACAACCTTGAAGGACTGGTAAATGGAGAGGAAGGTGGGTCATGTGGCTGTTTCTTTTTTATAAAACTATTGTATTTCAAGAATTCTCACTTAAGAAATATGTTGATATTATCAGGCCCAACTCCTCTCCTGAAGTATATAGYGTAATATGTCTGAGCCGAGCACAGTGGGATGTACTTGTAGTTCCAGCTACTTGGAGGATCACTTGAGCCCAAGGAGCTCCAGGCCTGCCTGAGCAATATAGTAAGACTCCACTTCAAAAAAAAAAAAAAAAAGGGGGAAGGAAGGAAGAAAGCCCAATTACTCACCTAAAGTAATATCTGTTAGAAACAAGATGTTGTTGGTTGAGCATCCAATGCTATTTGCAATCTTTTTGTAACTCTCACTCTCTACTTTGTGTCCAATTTTGGTATCAAAGTGACCATCAAAAAGCTGAACAAAGAGAGGAGAAACACTAACTCTATTATAAGTACACTTGCAACACACTAAATCCCTTTTATTTAGTATCCTTTCCCTCTGAATCTCATGACAAACATAGTGGCTTCACTCATTCAGTAAATATTTATTGAAAATCAACTTAATAGAGGACTTTATAGAGGCTCCAAAAGGTAAATATAAAGATTTCAAAGTAAAAAACATTTGGATGAGCTGAATGTGCTGGTACACAGCTGTAATCCAAGCTATTAAAGAAGCTGAGGTAGGATGTTCACAAGTTTGAAACCAGCCCCAGCAATTTAACAAGACCCTGTCTAAAAATAAAAATTTTAAAAAAAGAACTGGGGATGTAGTAGCTCAGTGCCCCTGGGTTCAATCCCCAGCACTAAAACAAAACAAAATAAAGAATCCACTTGGTTTTCATTAGCACTTCAAAACTTATCTAAAATATACATGTCCTACAGTCTACTTTAAAAACACTATATGTAAACYACATATTAGATTGGGCTGGATTTTCCTCTGGTGAAAGGTTCTAAATATTACCCTTTTGATCCTAGAATAAAAAGATTTCTCTAATTATCACTTGCTAATTTTATCAAGAGTAGTTAAAGTAAGTCCATATTTATAATCAGCTATTATGATGTAATCTTCTGAATGTCTTCAGAACTCTTCACAAACTAAGTCTAAAGAGGACACAAAACCAAATTAAGGCAATATTAAGGATTTAACTTTTAAAAAATGTTAAGATTGGATTGATTTTTGCATACTTCCTCTCTGATTTTATTTAGTAACCAAAGATTTTTTTTTATTATTGAACTCAGTAGATAATTATGATGTCCTATCTACTTTCACCTTATTATTGCCTATTTCATTAGTTAGAGCAGAAAAGTTTATATCTGTATTCAGAAAACAGTCTTAAATTATTAAAGGATTTCATTATTTGTTATAAGATGTTTAATTTCTTTCTTTAGTATTCTGTGTTTTTTTTTTTTTTTCCGGTCCTCGGGATTGAACCCAGGGCTTTATGCATGCAAGGCAAGCACTCTACTAACTGAGCTATATCCCCAGTCCCCCATAGTGTTCTGTACTTTTCATTGCAGAGTCTTTCATCTCTTTTGTTGATTATCAAGTATTTTATTTTTTATTTTTTGAAGCTATTGTGAATGGAGTAGTTTTCTAATTTCTCTTTCAGAKGATTAATCACTGATGTATAGAAATGCATTTGATTTATGGGTATTGATTTTATATCCTGATACTTTACTGAACTCATTTATTAATTCTAGAAGTTTTCTGGTACAAAGGAAGGGAGGGAAGGGGAGGGAAGAAGTCATGGGGGCAGGAAAGATGGTGGAATGTGATGGACATTATACTAGGTACATGTATGACTGCACATAAGTTGCGATGCTATATTGTGTACAACCAGAGAAATGAAAAGTTGTGCTGCAATTGTGTACAATACAACAAAATGAATTCTGCTATCATATATATACCTAACTAAAATAAAGRAATTAATAAAAAAAAAAGTAGGGAAGTACTCAAGTGAGAATATGACAACCTCCAAAGCCAAAGTATTCTCTGTACACAGCAGGGGCTCAATAAATATTTATTTTAGGGCTGGGGATGCAGCTCAGTGGTAAAGCATTTGCTTGTCTAGTGTGCACAAGGTCCTTGGCTCAATTTCAGCACAATGGGGAAAAAAAAAGAACAACAAAAAATGAAGTCTTTATGTATTTCTTAGCATTGTGCATGATCCTATTTTGCATATTTATTTATTTATTTGAGGGTGGGGAGGTACCAGGTATTGAACTCAGGGGCCCTTGGCCACTGAGACATATCCCTAGCCCTATTTTGTATTTTATTTAGAGACGGGGTCTCACTGAATTGTTTAGCGCCTTGCTATTGCTGAGACTAGCTTTGAACTCATGAACCTCTGGGATTGCAGGCCACTGTRGCCAGCTTGCATCTTTATTTTTTTTCAAGACAGTAAATTTTACTTCATATAGAGGAAATTATATATTCAATAACAAAAGTGACTGTTTCTTTTTACCTTTTTTTTTTTTTAAAAACAATCAAAAGAAGCATTCCATTAGTTTCTTTTGAGTTGTTGATTTCCTAATACTGGCAAGATAACTGATTTACACGTTAGCCCATGAGTTAGGATGTATTCCTGTATACGCTAACTCATGTATACCTATTTTTACACACATATAATAGCTGGTTCAAGGACTATCCTCATCAGTATCCTTAGGGTGGATGTTTATAAAAGCAAATTCCAGGTTCCTCCTTCCAGACCTGCCAATTAAAATTTACTAGGAAGGAGCCAGGAGCAGTTGCACATGCCTATAATCCCAGCAGCTTTGGAGGCTGAGACAGAGGACCACACATTCAAAGCTAGCCTCAGCAACCTAGAGATGCCCTAAGCAACTTAGTGAGATCTTGTCTGTGGCTCAGTGGTTAAGTGTCCCTGGGTTCAATCCCCACTACAAAAAAAAAAAAAAAAAAAAAAGCTAGGAAGCAGGGACCAGGGATATACCTTTTTAATATAAGCTCTGCAGGTAAACCCACAAAAATGTTTGAGATTTTGATCAAAAAACTAGCACCAAACCAAACATTTCTCCCTTCACTATAATGTATTAAAGTTTTTCTGCTTCTCTTTACAACCTGTCAGCATGTACAAAGGTAATTATCTGAATGATTTAGTTTATACTGTAGTACATTCCTTTTATCATTTTGTGCTTTGATAGTGTCAAAACAAAGCAAACTAAGTAACCTACCTCAAGAATATTCCCCTCTGTAGAATGCCCAAATAATAGTTTCTGAGCCTCCACACTTCCAGAAGAATAGATATACACCTTCATTCCATCTTCTCTCCACTTCCTGACTGCTGGAACTACATCTTCAAAGAACCTGGAGGGAAAACTACAAAGTTAAACTGCAGGAACACATCATTAGTCAGATGAAAACCAGAGAAAAGAAATGACATAATCTTCTCTATTTGTGCTCAAATGGTAACATTATGAACCAACTCTACAYAGAGTGTGAACTCCTATGGTTCTAATAAATGTTACTGGAGTTCCAAGATCACACAGAAGATTATATGGAACAATTTGACAATGTAAAGGGATTACAGGTAAATGAAGGAAATAAGAAAGTGGGTTTTTAAATTGTTAAGGAAGTGGGGAGGAGAATAGGAAGGACAATAGAATTAATTGGACATAACTTTCCTAGCCTTGTATTTGAATACATGACCAGGGTTACTCCACATCATGTACAATCACAAGAATAGGMTCCTAATTAGAATAAGTTATACGCCATATATGTATAATATGCCAAAATACATTCTACTATCATGTATGTATATCTCAAAAGAACAAAATAAACTGTTTTAAAAGTTGTTAAAGAACTTAAAAGCAAAAACCAAAATATTGTAATTAATACTACATTGTAATATAATTTTTGATGTAATTAATGAAAAGAAAAGGCTAATTTATGTCCACTGTGCTTTAAGAAGACATGGAACTAGAAATATATACATCCAAAACAATGAGCGGAAAAAAAAAAGTCTGGGGGCTCAATGCTACAAATCTATAAGCTAGATAATGGAATTAAGTTTTTTTTAAAGAACTCAGAAAGTCTAAAGTTTTACACAGAAAAAACAAACAAAAAAACTTTATTCTGAACAAATCAATTAAGAGACTTGACAGTATTTGATTTTTTGATTCCTGACACTCCAAGTCTCCTATTGATTCTACAGTATTTGCCATATTTAGTGGTCAAAATAATATCCTGGGAACTAAGTGAAAAGAAAAGTAAAAGAACCTGAGATGTGGAACCAATTTTTCTTTTTAAAGAACCAAAAGAAAGGCCAACTACTGGGAGAACAATCTCTTGGCTTCACACTTTTGARTGTTTTATAGATTAAGCCAGCTGAATATTCCCAGATCACTGGCATATCCTGAAATTCCAGTATATCCTTTAAAAAGGTACATGATGGTTATCATATAAAGGAATGACATCTCATTTGACAGAAATACAAAATAAATATAGGTAGCTGTAAACAAGTCTTGGATCCAAAGGTTTTCTTATTAAGAATTTCTCAGTAATATGATACTCTAGAGTCTCCTTAGGCAAAAGAATATCAGGAACCCTGTAACCAAGACTCACAGGATCTGTGGAAAACACAAGAGCATAGCTAGCAAAAGTGGCAGTGCTGACATTTTGTGTAATCCCAAAATAACGGGCTCATAATTCACAGTATTCTSTTTTTCTAACAAGGCAAAAATGCAGGTGATCTGTTGGTTCTGGGAAATAGACCAATAGTGCTGTCACTCGTATGCTAAGAATCCAATATGACTTAGTTCAAGGAAGTCATCATTTTCTAGGAAGTTGTTTTAAACTGGGTCTAAAATTAACTTCAACCATCCACAAAGCCAGACATGAACATCTTGGGATACAGCTGAGTAAAATCCTTTCAGCTCAGCTTTGAAAAATAAAACAGCTCATTTGTTAGATTAAAACAATGCTAATGTGTCCATTTTACTAATAATGTGGCTTATAATGGAGAGAGAAGACTAATGAGAAACATATTTAGTGAAATATTTTAGTCACTTGAGCACATACTCTGCTTTCATGTGTCCAGCTGTGAATGCTGCCCTCCACATGTGGCCCTGCAGTTGTTTGAGTGCTGTGGTCTTTCGGTCCAGAGACATCTGCCAGCACACATTATCTACAACGGCCTGGATTATCTGTTGTAGTTCATCTACCCCATTTCCAGATGCTGCAGGGATTGGAATAGCCCCATCCACGTGGGCATCTTCTTCAGCCTTTAAATTGGAAACAACATGAAGTTTGTTTCTTGCATATTTTTTAAAAAGATCATTAAAAATGAACCCCCCAAACCAGGCAGATAAATTTTCTCCAGTCATCATAAGCCCTAGCAAATGATTCCTAAGAGAATGACCTCTAAAAGAAATGGGATTATAAGTAATAAGTTTATATTACCTGTCCTAGATTGCTAAAGCTGAAATTTAAATCAAAAGGCACACTATATGTGAGGAGAATGAGCACATAATTATAAGAACAACTGTCTTTTTTTGTTCACTCAGTAGATCAGCAAACTGGAATTTTCAATTGCATCTGATCATTTTCTCTGTACTATAACTAATTAAAGTAGAAACAGAAAATCTTATAAGTTAGTTTATGGCTAGACTTAATGAAAAGAAACTAGTGAAGTAATRCAATTGGTTCACATTCAGCCTACTATAATCTGCCACATCTTACAAAAACCCTAAAGCTACTTAGAATAACCTTGTGACAATGCAATCCTGATAAGGGAAGCCAGGCATGATGGTGCACATTTGTAATCCCAGCAGAATAATTACAAGTTCAACACCAGGTTTGGCAAATTAGTTAGAGCTTGTCTCAAAATAATATAGCCTAGAGATAAAATGCTCCTGGTGCTCCTGGGTTCAATCCCCAGCGCTGTTTTTTTAAAAAAGCAAAGAGCGCATGTGAGTCTGGGATGGGGATTATGTATGCATGTTTCAAGAACAAGGTTGAGAAAAGAAGGTAATCACTGGGGTGGGGTGGGGGGGGAGAGGATACTTCAGATCAACCCTGAGTTATCCGAAAATTCAACAAACCCAAATATCCCATGATTCAAAGAACATGACTATATTTCCAGTCCTAAACTGTAATATTAAATAGCAGAATTATAGAGAGCATTCTATAATATCCAGTGTAGGAAAACTAATTGCCAGTTACTGCTGCTCATCATGGTTGATCTTTGCCACTAAAGCAATTCCGGTAAGAAAATCAAGAGAACAGAAGATGCATAGCACACAATGTGAAAGAAGAAGACAGAATGAAGACTGAGTGAGAGAAGAGGCAGGATGAAGTACATGCCACCAAGGTGAGTTTGAAGGGCAGGCCTAGGGTGAGATGGGTAAGAAGTGTGGCATGTGTCAGGGTGTGAGGATGCAGGAGCACTGTAAAATGGGTGGTAAGGACTCACGCCCTGAGGCAGTAGAGTGGAAAATGACAAGAAGCTGTCACTTGGAGACATTAATGAAATATGCAATGAGATTGCATAAAACCTTTTGCATTCTACCCAGAAAGGGCTTCATTTTATTAATAAATAATATGTTCATGTAATTTAAACAGCTTCTGAAAGAGACAATTTTATAGACAACAATCTGCCATGATCTGGCAGCTTAATTATGTACTGTGAATTCCTAAATTGGCAAGTCACTACAACTTTCTTCCCTTGTGAATTGAGGGCATTGATTTTACAGTATGCTCAGAGAACGTTCTAAGTCTCTAGGCATCCTCAACTATAAGATACAGGAGAATGTGTGAGAGAAAATATTCCAACCTGTTTTCTCAAAAGATTGACATCCTGCTGGCACTCCTCTTCTTCCCAATGTGTCTGCAGATACTCTTTAACATTTTCTTTGATGTAAGGAAATAAAATGTCCGGGAGGGCCGCGATGGAGGTCCCGCCCCGGCTTT